AGATGGGAGATCGAGATCCGGCCCGTCCCCTTCATCTGTCTGGTGCTTAGTAGGGTTTAGGGTTTAGGGTTTGGGGGTTTAGGGTTTAGGGTTTAGGGTTTAGGGTCTAGGGTTTAGGGTTTAGGGGTTAGGAGTCTGTCTGGTGCTTAGTAGGGAAATGGGGAGTGGGCTATAGGGACTACTATAAGGGACCTTAAGGGACTATCATAGGGATCCATTCCCCCATTCATAACTAAGCACCAGACAGTCATGGAGTTACGGTGTTGTGGGTTCTTCCAGAGGTGCCTCGCGTGAGGATTTCTAAGTCGGTTTTTTCTGTTCTGAAGGAGATCTCGTGTTGCTTTCATTGGCTATGTCGCCGTAGCAGCTATGGTTTCATGATGTTGCAGGGTTCAGGGTCCCTAAATTCTTGAACCCTAAACCGGTAAGTCCCAAAAGCACTAGAGCCCTAAACCTGAAACCCTGGGAAGAAGATGCGGTTAACAACAAAACCTAAATCCTAGAACCCAAACCCTCCCGACTCTGGTAGGGCTAAAGTACCAGAGCCTGAGGCCATGAGCACGATTGAGTTCTGTCCGGGCCTCATCGGGTCCAGCTTTTCAACGGTTTTTGGGTTGTGTAGCTTTAGGGTTTTGGGGTTTTGGGTTTGAGTAAGTAGTGAGAGTGTGTTCGCATGTGCATGTTTTGATGTGTCTCTGCTGGGGCTTTATGGTTTTGCTGCAGATAGCTGACTAATCATTACATCTTCCTCAAGAAGCAGAATCAGGGGATTCTGCTATGAAGGTCTGCACGGAGCGAGTGCTGTGAATTCGAGTTTAAGAGCATCAGCAGCGAGTTATCATCATTCTTTCAGAGAGCCGCCGATCCTCATAAGACCCTAGCTACTCTGGTCATCAGGCTCCGTCTCCGAGAACCTGTAAATAAAACTGGAAGCATTCACTAAACTCCTCAGAGGAAAAGTTGATCTCTGCTACGGCTTTGGCAGCCGATGTTTGTGTGGAACGTGCGACACTACGAACCTGGTTTGCTGTCGCCCTGAGCCACGGAACAAGCCAACCCATGCCCTGTAGAACCTGAAGCCGCTGCACGCTCGGGATGCATGCCGGAGGCGAGAAGCACTTGCCAAAGGGGGATGGCTCTGAGACGCAGAACGATTTGTGCCCAGCTATGAGGCTTCAAGGGGGCTCGAAGATGTATGCTTCAATTCAAGGCTGCGAGGGAAGGAGCCCGTGCTTTCGGCACACCTAGGTAAAGTGTAGGGCACTCGGAAAGCACGAAGCCAAGACCAAACAAAAACACGATAAAGACAGATATGTATATCAGGTGATGTTCAGTTGCAGCAACCACGGACACGACTTTTGTTCCTGCCAGAAAGTCGTACAAGTCAGAAGAGTTCGGGATTGCTGAGTGCAGTTTGGGTTTTCGCGTCCCAGGTACGATGCTGGCATCTACAGCAACATCAAATCTGCACTCGGTGATCAGGCTCGATCTCCGGAAGAATACTGTTAGGGGTTCTACGGTTGTGACAGGGCTTCACAAGGGCATTTCTACAGGTCTATCAGGCTTATTAGTGGTGGTGGTAGTAGTATAGTCGTCGTAGTAGTCGTCGTCGTAGTAGTAGTAGTAGCAGTAGTAGTAGTAGTAGTAGTAGTAGTAGTAGCAGTAGTAGTAGTAGTAGTAGTAGTAGTAGTAGTATAGTAGCAGCAGNNTAGTATAGTCGTCGTAGTAGTCGTCGTCGTAGTAGTAGTAGTAGCAGTAGTAGTAGTAGTAGTAGTAGTAGTAGTAGCAGTAGTAGTAGTAGTAGTAGTAGTAGTAGTAGTATAGTAGCAGCAGCAACTCCAGCAGAAGAAGCAGTAACAGTGGCGTGGCCGCCGTGGCCACTCTCATCCTGCAAAGTCGCTACTGCTACGACAACATTGATTCCGGCAACAGCAACAACAGTAACAACAAACGACGAGGACAACAGCAACAGCAGCAGCAACAACAACAACAACAACAACAACTGCAACGTAATATCAGCAGCAGCAGCTGCCGCAACAGTGCTGCCGGTAAGAAGAGAAAAACAGCATTAATAGGTATAGCACTACCAATAGCAACAGTGAGAACAGGAACAAGAGCGACAAGACACGTCAACTGACGATCACAGTGACAGCACGTAACAATGACGACGAAGAGCAGCAGCCGAAGGAAACCATAGCTGGAATTCTGGATTGAGGGGGGGTGGGATGGGATACTGTTTCGTGCGTATACTTGCGGTGTTGATTGCAAACTGGGAGCAAGCAATCGGGGTCGGGCTTTTCGGGTGAGACGAGGCGTTTTAAAGACCGTGGTCCCAGGTCGTGTTTTGTCATACGGTGTCGAGTTTGAAGACTTTGGTTTGGGTCCAGCAAGCATTAACGCCTTGTACACCTCAAAGAGCCAAAGCCACTAGAAAATCCCAAAAAGACTAAACCCTAAACCCTGCAATCCGACAGCCGCAAACCCTAGTCCCTAAACCCTCAAGCCTAAACCGGAGGCAAAATGGCAAGACCTAAGCCCAGACTGATTTCGCCAACCTTAATTAACCCTAATTCTTAGGGGTACTTAGAAATAATTTTTAATCTTTGGCTACTATAAACCCTAAGAAGCAGCTAAAATTATATTTTTGCTAGGGGTCTAAGTTCAGAAGTATAAACCCTAAACCCTAAACCCTAAACCCTAAACCGTATGGTTTATAGAATTAATCTCTAAAGCCTCAGGCGCTGCTGTGGCTCCTGCCCATCAGCGGGCCGTCGGGCGATGGTGGGGGGCCTCAGAATCTCCACCAGCAGCTTTAGGGTTTTGGGTTCAGGGTTTAGGGTTTAGGGTTTAGGGTTTAGGGTTTAGGGTTTAGGGTTTAGGGAAGACGCTCAACACGCCGCGTTGTCTCTGAGCTTGGTAGACCAAGTGATCCCGAAACGACGGGCTTCATGTCTTTTTGCATCTCAAGATGCAATATCAGGGTTTAGGGTTTAGGTAGGGCTTATCCTCAAACGGAGGTGTGTAGCTGGAGCCGGCTTTCCGAATGTGCAAAGCCAGGGCATGAGAGAGATGTGGAGGATGCACTTGCAGCCCTTAGCCCACAGGCCCCCAGTAGACGAAGGCGAAAACCCGAATGCCAAAAAGTGGCGGCTCAAGCAAGATTCTTCCTTTGCAGCCCCAGCTGCTGGGAGAATGATCGAGTTGTATTTCTTCACAGACCGGGCAACCACGAAAGGCGTGGTACTTTTGCCCGCGCTCTGCCACGATGTGGCTCTTTTCTCCATAGCTTTACAGCTCTTGCTCCTTGTGCTGATCCTGTGCTATGTTTTCTTCAAGGCTCTGTCCGAGCGCCTAGCCAACCTCTCACGCGCAAGACGCGCTGCTGCAGAGGAGGCCGCAGATGAGCCGGCCCCAAAGTTCAGGATTGAGCTGCAGCCGCCGTGCAAAAGCCTACGGTTTGCATTGAAATGGGATCCTGACATGAGGAACATGATTAACAGCCTCAAAGAGGAGGGTGAGGAAGCCCTCGCTCCATTCTTCGAAAGTGAGGTCTTCGTCTGGAAGCTGCGGAAGTACGTTCGCAACATGACCTCAAGGGCTGATCGATTGAACCTCAAGAGAGATGTGCTCCGGCGTCGGCAACAGCAGGAGCTCAATGAAAGAACTGCCCAAAAGACGGCTGAGCAGGAGATGCAAGACCGGCAAGCTTTGGTGGAGCTATTCGGTCAAGTGGACCAACCAGCGGCTGCTGCTCAGGCACCAGTGGTACAAGAGCAGGCGCCTCTGGTGGAACCTTCGGAGAAGCCAGCGGCTTCTATTGGGGTGCCAATTGTGGAAGAAGACGATGCGCCGGACCCATTTCTCAAGATGCTCATGGCGACTTCGCAAAGAAAGCCAACAGACCCCCAGATGTCGCCAGAAGATGCTGCTGCCCTGGCCTCCATGATGGCAGAGGGGCCTACAAGAAGCTTGACCGAAGCACGGCATGCAGAGCAATCCATCAATGGAGAAGTGCCGGCCTTTGGGCAGGTGCACATTGAAGCTTCCCAAAGGAAGCCCATCGACCCTCAAATGTCCCCCGAGGATGTTGCAGCGATGGCATCGATGATGGCGGAGCAGCCTCCAAGCGGCGCAATCGAAGAACCTCAATCTGAGGAATCCGTGGCTGGAGAGTCACCGGATGCCTTTATGACAATGCTCATGGAGACCTCGCGAAAGAAGCTGGCGGACACGCAGATGTCACCAGAGGATGCTGCAGCAATGGCAGCCATGATGTCGGCAGAACAGCCCTTGAAAGCAGAGGCACCGGATGTCCAACTAAGCCTCAATGAGAAGTCGGAGACTGGGCTTTGGAATACCATGCTTTAATACTTTTTTTGTTGGGATCTGTTCTTTCAAGGAACCCTTATCAAATAAAAGTCTATACTTTTTTCTCCCTGTTACTTCAGAGCCCAGGAGAAGGAGCCGATTGATGCTCAGTTGTCACAGGAGGATGCTGCCGCCCTGGCCTGTCTGATGGCAGAGAAGCCTACGAGCAACTCTACCGAAACTCCGCAGCCAGAAGTGCCCTCGGCAGAAGAGTCCGCATGCGACACAGATGGCTGGGACGGTGAGGACTTCTGGGCCCTTATCGATCCCACCCTGCCACCGGAAGAGGCAGCAGTCCAGCTGTTTGCAGCCATGGGAATCCCGCAAGACCTTGCATTTGTCACAAGTGTGCCTGTCCTGCCCACCACCATCAAAAGCGAGGATCCCTTCAAGGGCTTTTGGGACAGTGTGGATGACAACATGTCGCCAGAACTGGTGGCAGCTAAGCTACTGAGCACAGCCCAATTCATACAGGCCTACTGAACGATGCAAGTAGTGCAAGTGCCAAAGTGCGCTGAACAACCTTGCCTTTTAGTTATCGGTTCAAGTATTCGTGCAAGTATCGGCTGTGTGGTGTTGGATGGCGTCTGTGCTTCGAATGTCAAGAAAGACATTGCATGGAAACAATACCACCGAGCAATCCCCTGAGTTACAACCCCATACCTCAAGATCCCTGAAGCCTCGCCGTTCTCCTGACGTCTGACGGTTTGTCAGGTGCAAACGACATAGCCGGTGTCATCTCTAAGAGACGGACACCTCCAGCTCCAGAGTGCTGCAGCCAAAACTGTCCGACTGCTCAGAGTGTAGCGTCCGAACCCTAAACCCTAAACCCTAAACCCTAAACCCTAATGTACAGGAGCAACAAGCTTGCACACTCACGTTTACCGTAGACCCTCAAACCACAATAGTAGACGCTGAACTGAACCTTTTAAACCCCTAACTTATATAACAAGCCATTTTTAGACCCTTATGGACCCTCAAACCCGAACAGTAGTTTACACCCTTAACTTACAACAAGCCATCTTTAGACCCTTATAGACCCCTTGGAAGGAACCCTGTTCCGTTTATGGTCTGGCCAGGAGGATCTTCCTCAAACACTGCTGCGGCAGTCGTAAGCCCTGAAGTGTTGACGGTTGGGTCAAAAAGGATTCTATCAGCATTTGTTGAGGGTTCTGTAGGGGCTCGGTAAGGGCTTAAGATGGCTTTGCACGGTTTACGTCGTTTACGGCTTAAGGGTTCTATATTGTCTCGGTAAGCTCGACAAGAAGTAGAGAATTACTCATGAGTCCTTTGGATCACACATGATGCCGCAGCCCTGAACCCTAAACCCTAAGCCCCTAAACCCTGAACTCTAGACCCTAAACCCTAAACCCTAAGCCCCTAAACCCTGAACTCTTGAAGGCATCAACTTCGCCAACGTGCCCATCAGCCAGCAGCAAAAGCAGCCCTTGAAGAGCTACGAAGAGCTGGACGTGGTGCCCTCAGCCCTGTGGAGATCTGATGCTTACCCAAAACCCTAAACCCTAAACCCTAAACCGCTTAATGTAGAAGCCTTACCTATATAATTCCTCACGGTTCCTTATTATGATTGTAGCAAAAAGGAGCCCAAAACCCTAAACCCTAAACCCTATTCTAACTATTAAGGCCCCTACGTTACCGACTCAACAAGTGTAGGGCTTCAAATTGGCACCCCAAACCCTATGTTGGGGTCCTTATACTAAGGATCCTACTATTTAGGGTGCTACCTATAGTCTCCATTGCAGTTCCTTTTTTGGGTTACCGTATAGGATCCTAAGTATAAAACTGGTCCACCCAAAAAAGGACCTACAATGGAGACTATAGGTATAGTAGGGTCTCCTATTTTAGGACTTCATATTGACATCCCAAACAAGATAAGACTACAGCTACCTGCCGTTCCAGGCCTTATTGCAGATTTAAGAAGCGCGCCCAGAGCCCCGGAACCAGATATGGGGGTTTCCGAAAATAGGGGACCCTAATATGGCACCCTAAGTAGTAGGATCCTTATTATAAGGACCCCCAAATAAGGTACCCTAATTTTCGGAAACTCCCATATGAGAAAGTACAAGTTGTAGCCCGTGAGCGAAACTGCCCGAGACTGGCTGCATCCAGGGTTTCTTGTCATGCAATGCTGCGCATTTAACGCATCCAGGTCCCGAAGGTTCAGAAGTTTGGGGGTTGGGAGTGGGGTGCAGGTATGCTGGTTTTGATTCTCGACGTTGATGAGTAGTTCTCTAAATTAGGTTCCCTTGTTAGGTCCCCAATATAGTACGGCACCCTTATGAAAAGGACCCTAAATAGGGACCCTCATTTAGAGAACTGCCCTGATGCTAGTAGTCACATGGGTGCACGCCCAGGATCTTATGTGCTTTGGCCGAAACGGCAGTGCGCTAGGGGACTTCGTGGCTTCCCCCCCCCCTAAGCGTAAAACCCTAACACCTACACCCTTACCTGTAGTCTCCATTGTAGTTCCTTTTTTGGGTTTAACCAAATATATATTAAGGATTTTGTAAGGTATCCCCCAAAAGGAACTACAATGGAGACTGTAGGTAAAGCCCGAAACCCTTAACCAGGCCTGAAACCCTACGCCCTCAAACCGCTATACCTTTAAACAGAGCCAACAAAGTGGTCCACGGAGGCCACCAGGAAAATGGCCCGCAACGGCCGAGACCGCAAGAGGCCTGGCTCCCTCGTTTGCCTCATTCTGACCCAGTCTTGTTTCGCTTAGAGGGGCCTGTAGGGTTTAGGATTTAGGGTTTAGGGTTTAGGGTTTAAGGTTTAGGGGTTTAGGTTAGAAGTTAAAAGATATAAGCTCAATGTTTGTGTAACTGTGTATGGTTGTTCTGGTTCGTGTCTATTTCGTATCTAGTTTTTGTTGGGTGGGGAATTCTATTCGGGATTGTGGAGCCCGAGTCAGAAAATCCGAGCAGCCCCCATGAGAACCGAAGACTTGCATTGCTGTCGCACCATAATGTAGGGGCCTTAATAATCAGAATAGGTTTGGGGGTATATTATACTATAACTATAATAAGGAGACCCAAAAACCCTATTCTAAGTATTAAGGCCCCTACTTTGATCTTGGCAAGTGAGGGTTCAGGTGAGCTGTGGGAAAGGTTCCGACCGGGACTAAAGTACATGGGGGTGTAGCGGCGTCGCATTTAGGATCCGGTGCTTGTAAGCTTGAGGTTGACGAAGCGTAGGCTGCATTGGATTCAGGCTGTCGGTTCCGCTTTAGCTGCCACTCTATCTGAAACGGTTTCTGAAGCAGATACCATCCCAAGTCGTTTGACGTTTCAGGGTTCATGGCATGGGGCTAGGTGTCTGAGGTTGTCCCCCCAACAATGACGAAACAGTGGGAGGCTCCGTTCGGTGTCTGCTTCGGTGCAAAGGGATTAGATTACTGTAGCGGGAGGGCACGCGATGCTCGCTCCATTCACTATCTCGTGCTTTTGTTGGCTTTCGAATCGCTCGAAGCCTCTGAAGTTATCACACTTAAAGGATCATGGGACTTCGTGAGTAAGGGTATACGTCCCTGAATTGGGGTTATAAGTCAATATAAGTATAGTTACCTTAATTTAAACCCTACTTACTAAGTCCCATGATCCTTTAAGTAGGGCCACACTATTCAATATGTCGGCTCCTGTCCTGCTCTTCTGGGGGGTGTGGGAATTTTTCGGACTTGTGCACTAGGGTTTAGGGTTTAGGGTTTTAGGGTTTTAGGGTTTTAGGGTTTAGGGTTTAGGCCCGAAATTGGGGGCATCGGCTTCCCAGAGTGCAGCGCCTGTTTCTGGGATGCCAAGCGTGCTCCCGCCTCGGTGTGGTGCGCATTTTCTGTCGTTTTGGCTATGACTTCAAAATAAACGAGGCCTTGCAGAAAGACAGTTTACTCTAGCTCCTTGTGCCAGGTACGAGATGGGCGTGTGCGATGACGATGACACTCATCCGATGTACCGCTAGGTTTCCTCCAGTGGCCGAAGCTGGGCTGTTCCAAAACAGGGTTCCTCTTCAACGGTCGGCTGGAACAGTCTCCTGTTGCCGCTGCCGAAATGCCAGACGTCCCCAAAATCCAAAACAAAATCGTAAACTCTAAAGCCACAACCAATCAAACCCTGTGTGGGAACAGTTTCGAATGCATGTGCGTCGCGCTGCAGTGGCAATGTGCAAAATGTGCTGGCCTCCGCACGCCAGAGGGTCCATTGAAGGGGGACACCGGGAGGGTATAGGGTTTAGGGGTTTAGGGTTTAGGGTTTAGGGTGTAGGGTGTAGGGTTTAGGGTGTATAGGGTTTAGGGTGTAGGGGTAGTTTTCGGTTTTAGGGCAGACATGATAACCCTGAACCCTAAACCCCTTGCGGTGTCTCCCTTCTAAATCTCTACAGGAAGATCAAGGCTATGAGATTTAGGAGTGTTAGGCTAGTCTCAGGTAGCCTCGGAATTGGCGTGACACAACGCTCGAATGCAAAAATGGCTGTCCAATGATGTGCAGGTGATTGTTGGTGCGCCATGCCTAATCCGTAAATCGGCCCTCAAAGTTATAATGAATTAAAATAGGGGGGGCTTAATAATTTCCTATACTATATCGGGGGTTCCTTGTTACAAACGTAGTATAATGGGACCCAAAATCCTATTGAAATGATTAAGGCCCCTAAACCCTAAACCCTAAACCCTAAACCCTACCCTATATTCAGGAGCTTAAGGGCCTGGATGCCTTGGACGAGGGTGCCTCTTGAGTTAAAGGAAACTACAGGTGGGGAGTTTAGGGTATAGGGTATAGGGTTTAGGGGTTTAGGGGTTTAGGGTTTAGGGTTTAGGGGTGTAGGTTTGGGGTTTAGGGTTTGGGGTTTGGGGTTTAGGGTTTAGGGTATATAGGGCTTCTGTAAGGCTTCTATAAGGTATATAGACCTTCCATAAGGCTCCTATAACGGTAACTACCCACCTGAAAATGCCCTAGATTGAGGATTCGTTCTTTGGGTGAACCCTGACAGGCCGAAGGACTTACCATGGGCTTGGGCTTCGAGTTTAGGCCACCCCAAAGCTGAATGGAACCCTAAACCCTAAACCCTAAACCCTAAACCCTAAACCCTAAACCCTAAACCCTAAACCCTAAACCGACTGTATGGGTATACTTTTGGGATCTTTTGGGCCTTATAGGGGTTCCTTTGCAGGTACTTTCAGGCCGAAGTATACCCTAACCCCTAAACCCTAAAGCCCAAACCCCCTAAGACCCCTAAACCCCTAAACCCTAAACCCCTAAGCCCAAACCCCCAAACCCCCAAACCCTAAACGCCTAAACCCGAAATCCCTAAGCCCTAAACCCCTAAGCCCTAAACCCTAAACCAGCTCTCTTTGAAGAAGTCGAACTGGGGTTTCCAGCAGCGGCTCGCGCCAAGAGTGCTAAAGGGTTAAGGGTTTAGGGGTTTAGGGGTTTAGGGTTTAGGGTTAAGGGTTTAGGGTTTAGGGTTTAGGG